AAGCGATTCTCCTGCCTCAGCCTCCCGAGTTGCTGGGATTACAGGGATTACAGGCATGCGCCACCACACCCGGCTAATTTTTGTATTTTTAGTAGAGATGGGGTTTCTCTATGTTGGTCAGGCTGGTCTCGAACTCCCCGACCTCAGGTGATCCACCTGCCTCGGCCTCCCAAAGGGCTGGGATTACAGGCCTTAACAGTTTTATGGCGGTAAAAATTGACATACCATAACCCAGCCGGGCGCGGTGGCTCATGCCTGTAATCCCAGTATTTTGGGAGGCTGAAGCTGGCCGATTGCCTGAGGTCGGGAATTCTAGACCAACCTCGCTAACATGGTGAAACCCCGTCTCTACTAAAAAATACAAAAAAATTAGCCGGGCATGGTGGCGCTCGCCTGTAGTCCCAGCTACTCGGATTCAGGAGAATCGCTTGAAGCAGGGAGGCAGAGGTTGCAGTGAGCCAAGATTGTGCCATTGCACTCCAGCCTGGTGACAGAGCAAGACTCGTCTCAAAAAACAAAAATAAAATAATAATAAAAATAATTGACATACAATAACCCACACATATTTAGGTTGTAAAATTTGATGCGTTTTGATATGAACATACATTTGTGAAACTGTTGCCAAAATCATGATAATGAGCCCCTAAAAATTTCCTCGTGCACTTTTGCAATCTGTACCTTTCACTATTCCCACCCACTTTCCAGGCAACCACTGATCTGCTTTCTGTCACCATAGTTTGCTTTTCATGAAATTTTATATAAATGAAATAATACAGTGCATGCCTTCTTTCACTCAACGAAATGATTTTGAGACGGATTCATGTTGTTGCATGTATCAGTAGTTCATTCCTTTTTTATTGCTTAACATTCGTTCCATTTTACTGGCATACCACAGTTTGATAAACTATTCATCTGCTGATAGACATCTGAGTTGTTCCAAGTTCTTAGTTATTACAAATAAAGCTGCTATGAGCATTTGTGTATAAGTCTTCATATGGACATATACTTCCTTTGCTCTTAAATACCTAGGAGTGAAATATTTGGGTTATACGATAGGTATGTTTTTTTGTTTGTTTGTTTGTTTTGAGACGGAGTCTCGCTCTGTCGCCCAGGTTGGAGTGCAATGGCGTGATCTCGGCTCACTGCAACCTCTGCCTCCTGGGATCAAGAGATTCTCCTGCCTCAGGCTCCTAAGTCAGGCACTGGAGTGCAGCTGGCGCAATCTCGCTCACTACAGGGAGCTGCACCCTCGGGTCTACATCACGGTACCACCAGGGGGCGACTCTCACTGCCTCAGCCCTCCGAGTAGCTGGGCACTACAGCGCCCGCACCACCCTGCCCCACTCGCGTCCGGACTAAATTTCATTTCACTATTACTATTTTTCAGTAAGAGACGGGGTTTACCATCAAGGTTACTCGATCTCCTGACCTTTGTGGATACCCGCCGCAGCTCGCCCTCCACAGTGCTGGGATTACAGGCGTGAGCCACTGCGCCCGGCCAAGAAACTAGAAAATTGTATGCTTCCTGATGTGAAGGTAAAATAGTACTACTTCAAAAGAAGTGCAGTTTCTAAAAAAACTTAAAACATACATCCTGCTGGGCGGGCGGTGGCTCATGCTGTAATCCCAGCACTTTGGGAGTCGAAGCAGGCGATCACAGTTTCAGGAGTTCAAGACCAGTCCCTGACCAACATGGTGAAACCCGTCTCTAAACTCAAAAATATCAGAACAACTAGCCCGGTGGTGTGGTGTGCGCCCGTAATCCCAAGCT